AAAAAAAAAACAAAATTATTAATGTAATAAAATTTATTATGAAAGGAGAAGGATTAACGATCTAAACTATGAAAAGAGAAGGACTAACGATCTAAGTGTTTGACTATGCCACGCAAACTGTTTCCATGGGCAGCTATGATGATCTTTTTTCCTTCTTTTAATTGTGGAATAATAGTATCATTCCAATATGGTAATGTCCTCTCAATTGTCAATTTTAAAGACTCAAATTTAGGAAATTCCTCTGGTTTTGGTCCATCTGCATATCTTGGATCCTTTACTATTGTATCATAATATTTGTGATCTGGCTCCATAGCTGGAGGTGGTACATCAAAGGATCTTCTCCATATTTGAACTTGTTCTTCACCATACTTAGCAGCAGTTTCTGCTTTATTCATACCAGTCAAACCACCATAATGACGTTCGTTTAAGCGCCATGTTTTTTGAATGGGAATACTTTCTTGACCAATTTCTTTAAGAATAGCTTTCAAAGTTTCTTGAGCTCTTGTCAACAATGATGTATGAGCAACATCAAACTTCAGACCTGCGTCTTTAACTGCTTTTCCAGCTTGAGCTGCTTCAGTTTTACCTAAACATATATGTTAAATAATAATAATTTTGAAAATAAATTTTATATTATTACACAGATTACAATCTTTATTGTTTTTTTTATTGTTTTTTAGCTATATAAAATATGTGATAAAGTAATTAATATCATGAATGATTATGTATTGATAAAGTAATTAATATCATGAATGATTATAATTAACATGATGATAATATGACATTCATTTATTAATTTATATTTTTTTCTGTATGTATCTTTAAAATGAGAAAACCTAACCATCAAGCCATGATTAACATAACATTTAAAATTGTTTGACCTTTCGCCCTTGAGGTTTATTCTCACGATTTATTTTTGAACAAAATGACTTACCTTTGTCAGATAAATTGGCATCATACCATCCACAAAACAGATTCAATTGATTCCATTCACTCTCTCCATGACGTACCATAACAATCGTGTATTTCGACATTTTTTTATTACAAGAACTAAGTGCACGTGAGGAAAAATGATTCGCAGACAAGGATCTCTGTTCAATATCTCTGCACAACTGCTTCAACTGAAAACCCCCACCATCTGTCATGCTTTTTAATCGTGTAAGTATTCTGTTCAAAATTTTACACGAATACATTGTGACATTTATTGTCCATACATCTATTTATTTTCACTATACGGCTGAGAAATTTTGTTCATTTAAAAATATTGCTAATCTAGCGACATGCATTTACAAATGTTGGTATTTTGACATTGTTCCTTACTCGTTTATTCATGCAATGAAATGTTTCGCGCCATTGTAAATTGTTAGTTCTGTACGTCACATTGACTGAAATACATATGAAAATTTGGATTAGTTTGAGTGTTTAATTGATAAAAATTGAAATATATGAAATAAATAAATATTTCTGACTGAAGCTTTACAGATTTTTATATACGTTAACAATAGATTGCATAATTTCTGAAAGAAACGTTTTCTGTTCGAATAAAGTGAGAGATGAATATAACCTTTATAAAAATGAAGTGTATTAATACAAATTTGAGATCTAATTTAAAATGATATGAAAACAACGAACACGAGTTCTTGATAGCACATGTTCATCTATTTAAAGAATTTGCATTTTATTTAAAAAATTACGTACAATGGAACTTTCAGATCAACCGGCTGATGATTCTTCCTTGTTATTAGATACAAATTGTTTACAAATTTCGTGTAACTGGAAAATTGCCAATAATAAACAGTTTCGCGATGCTTTTATATTGGAAGTTTCGTCCCTAGAATTTAAGAAGTAATACAGATATTTGTATATTAAAAATATATTAATTCCTTATATAATAGTTGTGTATAAATGTACTCATTTTTTCACATATTATTCATATATTAGGTTTATATGTTTAAAACAATATAAAGTTTGAGAAATATAAAATAATATAAATATCTAAATTTGTTCCAATTTTATTATATTTCATTGTTATTTTACTTTATTATAGATAATTATTACATATTTACTTTTTCTTTAAATAAATATAAATTCTTTTATAGAACTAACTTTGAAGATATAGTTTCTTTGAATACGTGTATATCTTTACAACCAACTGAATCCAACAATGAACCATGTATGTTAGACATAAGATTAAACAATGGTCAAAGAATTTCTCAAATAGCTGTGGTTTCTGAGGCTTATGTATTAGAATTTTTCAAACAATTTGGAGAATATGAAACAACAAAGTTTGCAGAATTTGTAGATGAATTCGAAGACAATTCAGTTTACTTTGCAGAAACAGCAATTTTTCCACATGCTACAGAAGCTAGTATTAAGGTATAAAGAAAATATATCTATGTGTGTATATTTGCATCTAATTTACAAAAAATATATATTTACTTTGAAATTTCTATTTTAGTTTACAAAAACAAAAAGTAAAAATTCAATTATGTGGATATATGGTATAAAGCTCTACTTAACAAAATTAATTAATGAACCTAAGACTTTTTCCACAGAAATCTTTAATCCTGAAATAATAAAAAATTTCTTAACTAAATTTAGTTTTAATAACGAAGGGAACAATACCACGAATGATGTTCAATCATGTTACATGAATATTTTGAATACGTCAAAAAACAAAAGTGTTCAGAAAAGCAATGGGGAAGAAGTGGCACAATCTACAATTGAAAATACTGTATTAAATAATGTTGATATCACGACATATATTGATAAGAAATTCGAAGATATGGAAAGAAGACTAATGAAAAAGATCAATGAAATGGAACAAAGAACAAATGAAAAACTTGATACTATTTTAAGACAATTAGAAAGTCAATGTAATATCAAGTGACCTTCAATTCATACAATTTAAGAATATATTTGTAAATAACGACAATATGTATTTAATTCTGTATGTAATTCTATATATGTAAAAAATTTTGAAAATAATACTTTTTCCTAGTGTTTTATTCCTAAGCTGTTTAAATTATCTATTTACACTTCAGTTATATTTACTCTTTATTTTTCACTTTTGCAATGCAATTGAATCTTTCAAGTACAAGTATTCACATTTAAGAATATACCAAGAATTATGTTATATTTCGTCTAATTCTGTTATTTTTATGAAATTTCATACAAATATAAAAATCATGGAACTAATGATGTGCATAAAGATACATTAGTAAGATAAAGTTTAAACGTAAAGTTATTTCAATCAGTATTGCTATCTTGTGGAGGATCCCATTGATGAAGTTGTTTCCTCCACAATCTTACCATGCTATCCCATCCTCTTCTACTATATTTAATATATTTTGGTGGTGTTCTTGGATGCTCTCTTGTTCGTTTCTCTCTAAAATATGTACAACCAATATAATAAGTTTTCAAAAAAACTAATTTCACCTGTATTTTAATGAACAAAATTCTTCTTACTTAGGCACAGTTTGAATATATCTATCATATCCAACAGTATTTTTCCCATAATCTATTTCTTTTTGTCTACGAGCTAAAACTCTAGGATCTGTTTCATATTCTACCCGTCTTTTACCACTATCCGAAGAATTAGTAGTGGAGCTTGAATCACTATTATGTCTAGTTCGAGAAACTTTTGCATCCTCATTATTTATTTGATTTTCCCTAGTTCGTTTACGTAAACCATCATCATGTTGTTTATTCTTTACATTATCTTCGCAATTTATACCAGTTGCATTGTTTGTCTGATTTCCTCTCAATTTAGATATGTTATCAACTTCTACATTTGAACTGACATCTTCCTTTTTCTCCTGTTCACTATTAACATGCGTCTTAGCTACACAAGATTTAGTCTCTGGATTACTTTCTTTCAATACATCCTCCTTGTTAGAGTCTATAATTTTGTTCAGTTCATTTGAACTCATACAAATGGCTTCATTAAGGAGAGCATCATCTTCTTCTGTTAGTTGTGTCCATGAAGTATGCGTATCTAATTCCATTTTATTTTGATCGTCGAAAGAGCTTCGTTACACGATTCTCTACGAGAGAAAATTAACATAAAAACGAACTGCATGGTTTAATCAATGAGAGAAACCGACAAATAAAGAGTATCTCACCTAATAAGAATAACCTAAACGAATGGAATAACTTTTGTTATTAGAACATAAAAGAAAGCCGCTAATTCCGCGTTTTCGTAATAAATAGAAGAACCAGAATAAAATAGAATTATTATTTTATGACCATGAAATGCCAAGGTTTTAAATATGCGATGAAATTGCACTTAATTTCAAATAAACATGCAGAATAAATTCATTCTTGGAAGTGTTACAAATTCTGCAGTGCGCGCCTTTTCTTATAATCTAATATTCGCGCAGCCCGTAGAGCAATATCAGTTGAAGTTCAAACTAGGTTAAAGGTTTTGAAATTTTCTTTCGTCGTTGATCTTTGTAGAACATGTATACTACGAGTACGACAGCAACGATTGCCTAAAATTTCATCTTTCAATCATTTTTTCACGTGTATCGCACTTAGGAATCTGTTAACGCGATCTCTCTATCTTTTTCGCAAAATTGAATAATACAAAATGTCCGCGGCAATCTAGCGCTTTTTGTTTGACAAGTTCGCATCCCCTATCGGCCGATTTCAAAATAACAGGAGTTTTCCTCTTGTAATCTAATATTCTGACTCTATTTAAGAACCTCTCAAACGGTGATTCATATTTCAGAAGTTCACATATTGAAATTGAAATATAAATCATTGATTAATGTTCTATTTATTTATTTTACAATGATCGTGTTGTCGTAATTTATTTTATGATAATTCTGTAAAATTTATTTTATAATAATTGGTTTATATTTCGTGATTATTGTACGATTTGTCATTAATTCGACTTTTTAATATGACGTATGAAAGAAGTTTCTTGTCAAGATAATTTGTATATTTAATGAGATTATATGTATATATAAAATTATATATATATATATATATATTTTGTATATTACGAAAATCATATCATAAATATTGTTTTTCTACGGTGATTAAGAAATTTTTTTCGAATCATAGTCATTCTTTATTTTTTAATTAACAATCATTTTTTTACTTGTCTAACTTTAAACGCAGTTATATATATAGTTGAAAGTTATACATATTAATCGAAAACGAAATCGTGCAAAATGCCGCCAAAAACAGTGAAGGTTATATTTTCTCATTTTTCAAATTATATTTTTTTAATTAATCTCTTTTATACTTTTGTATTTTTTAATTATATATTTAAATGTCAATACAATATTTGTATGTTTTAATTTACATTTAAATGCGTGAACCATTTATGTATGATATAACGTAAATTAATATTATTTACAGGAATCGTTAATATTATTAATAAATATTGGAGTAACAAATCCAAATGCAAAAAGTGATCATTCTACATTGGAAAAAGCGAAAGAAATTGCCAAGCGAAAGATCGAAAAAATGGTATTGTAGAAATGAAATTTAATATTATTTACTCTATTAATATTTATTATTTTATAGATTTTCTTAAGTCCAAAAGATGAAATTGCAATAATGTTGATGGGTTCCTCTGTTACAAAAAATAATTTGAATACAGAACACGTAGAAGAATTTACAGATTTTCAGATCCCAAATTGGGATTTTGTAAAAAAATGTATGGCTTTAGAAGGGACAAATCATTGTTCGAATTGGATTGAAGCACTTGTAGCTGCAGTGGAATTTATGGAAAAAAATGTGTATGTTAAACATAATTGTATTTATAGGAAGGATGAAACTTCATTCCAACTTATATTATATTAATTATAATATATTTCTTATTTTAGTGTTGATGTTTCTACAAAGAAAATCATTCTGATGTCTGATTTTAATGAAGAAGCAGATATCATTTCACAATTCCAAGCAGATGCAATTGCAGATAGGCTATCTACAGAAAATATTTACTTAATCACAATGTAATTTGTTTTAATTTTATTATAAAAATTATTACGTATAATTTAATTTTATAATTTTATCATTTTAGATCAGAGCCTTCAACTAGTCTTACAATTAGTCGAAAGCTTCTTAAAGATGTTCATGAGAAGGTTTCATTTACTATATTCTATTTTTATAACATATTATTGTTAAATATTATTATTATTAAATTTATTTTATTTGCTAGGTTAATGGTCAGCATACAACATTTGATAAGATTTTATCAGATTTAAAATTTTATATACCAGCATCAAAAAAACCATGTCCATGTTATTATACCTTAGAATTGCTTGATAAAAAAATACATGTTGCTTCTTATATTAAAGTAAGGAGAAATTGTGAACCAAGAAGTCATTTATATGATCCATAGTTTATTAACATTTTTATTTCTATTAGATAGACATAGAAAAACTTCCATCGTGGAAAATAGAAATCAGAAACAATGAAAAGTTTGAGAAAAAAACAGAATACGTAAATAGGCAAAGAGTTTCTTATTCGGAGGATGAAATTGTAAAAGCATATAAATATGGGGAATCTTTTATTCCAGTAGAAAGTATATATCAATTTGTTTTTGTTAGCATAAATATATTTATATTATTAAATATATATATTTTATTTTAAATTTAGAGGATCTAGAGGAGTGTATGAGTTATAAAAGTGGCGGGAAAAGTTATAAAATTTATGGCTTTACAAATAGAAACAATATTGATTTAGAGTATTTTTATAAAAGTACCACTCATATTCTTTTACCAGCCAAGGAATCAGAGGTATATTTTATTATTTTATTTATATAAGTTTTCGAATTATATATGTATTTATTCTGATTTTTTTAGAATGTAACAAAGCCATTTTATAGTTTGGTGCTTGCAATGGAAAAAACAAATTCAGTGGCTATTGTGAGAAAAGTTTTTGGAAATAATAGTCCACCTAGAATGGTTGCATTGTTTCCTTGTATTAATATTCCTGATGAACCATGGGTACTGTAAAATATATTTCTTTAATTATATTATTTCTCAATATATTGTTCAATATGTCATTTATATTTACACAGTGCTTGGTAGAAATAGAATTAGTATATGCAGAAGACAGAAGAGTTATGGAAACAAGACCCATGAAGTCAGTGATTAAACAATTATTGAAAGAACAAAATGAAGCTGTAGATAGTTTAATAAATTCTTTGATATTATCTCACACAGAGTAAGAATATTAATACTTTAGTATACTTAACTAGTTAAGCATCTTCCATTACATAATTATATATTTTTAAACAGGGATAGTTGTGAGATAGATGGAAGTCAATATTTTTTACCAGGATATGTGCCAAATCCTGCAGTACAACACAAATGGCATATATTATCGCATCGGGTTATTAATCCGGATAAACCATTACCGCCTATGGAAAATTATTTAAAAGAAATTTTGGAAGCTCCATTGATAAAAGAAAGAAGTAAATCTCATCTGCAAAAAATTGTAAAGCTATTTCGATTAGAGAGTATAGATCCAAAAAAAGAAAAGTAAGAATTTTTTATATATTAAAAGATTGTTTGTGACAATAAAAATATAATTGTGCATTTTATTTAGAAACGAAATTAAGGAACAAGATAATATGCAGCTTGATAATAATATCGATACCGAGGAGTCTAATAAAATAGAAGATATGGTTGATGCTGAAATTAATTCGTATAAAGAATCAGAAGTTCTGTCTTTGGACACCTCAGATATTGATTTTGATGAAATGGTAAAAATAAGAAATGTTACTATATGTACATATATACATATTTGAATATCTATTTATATATTCCATTTTTATTTCAGGCTGTTAATATATAATTTGTTCAACTTGTTTACAATATTTTAAATATTTTTTCCAACAGAGTTTTGTAAAATTATATTTTAAATGATAATTTTACTTTTTATATGTGATATCTTGTACTTTCAAGCAACGTGTAAAAGAAAAATTATACTTATACTTCATACAAATAACAAATATTATATGGAAAAGATCGTAAAATAAAATATGTGCTAACAACGAACTTCTTGCGTATTCCTAATTAGAAGAATGAAGCTTTGAAATGAAGCTTACCACAAATTGATGACGTTATAAGTACCTAAATATGGAAATGATTAAACCGTCTGCCCACTTAACACCCACTCCATTTCTCTTCAAATTCTCTGAAATTTTTACCTACATAAATACGATACTACAGGATTGTATATTTCTATGCATTTCATTTTGTTATAAAATTTTATCAATAAGATGTTTCTAAAAATGAATACTTACCATACATTATGGATCAGTGCATTTTAAACCTGTGCTATGAAAGAAAAATCAAAACTAAGTATTATTTTTTTTCAGTTTCTTTTCAACATGTCAAAATCTTGCTTCTTTTTTTTTTGGCTCGTTTTTTTGCTTGTTTTTTTGGCTCTTCCTGTGAAAAACTTATTAGTTCTATAGTTGCGTAGATACTGTTAGTTCTCTGATTTTGATACATCCTGTATAATGTAACGGCACTCACTTTCAGGGCTTGCATGGAGCGCAAATCAGCTGCAATCTCAGTCAACGAAGAGACGCCGTCTCCTGTGGACGAACAGGTGCTCTTGTCCGTGCAGAACATATTCACCAACATGGGTAAGTTTCAATTTTGTTCACGTTAATTTGAAGCTGTTCATCGCGTATCATCAAAATGAAATGCTGCAACGTGCTCCAAGCTCTTTTTTTGTAGCGAAAGTAATAAATCAAAGCGTGAAAATTCACGCAGTAATGCCTTACGTCTTCATTTAGGTATGCAAGATGAGACACGAATACGTTGGACGCTGAGTTTATGCTTTCTTTGTTGAAACAAAGTGTTTTATTTCTTCGGTATATTAATATAAATAACTACTAAATATTAATATAACTAACAATAAATTTTATAATAATTATAATAATTAAATTATTAAGATTTAAATATTAAGTTTCGTATCTGTTCCTTTTAATTGTACAAATAATTAAAAGAAACAGATACAAAAAAAAAACATTCCAATGGATTTAGATAGTAATTAAAATTGAAGCTGTAGATATCTATGATTGTATAGTTGGATTTAAAAGGAATTACTCACGCTACTTAAAAGGCATTTAAATCCTACGTTTAATAAAAATATTACTATAGTAAAATTTTTCTTATTATGTTGTCTTCTAGAATTAATTCTGAAATAAAATATTTTCTTTTAGCCGTCGGCAATATTTGGAATAATGAAAATCAATCGAGTAGAATGAACTATACCTTAAATGTCATAGACAAATGTCGAGGAGTAAATATCATGTTAAAATGCATTTTATTGTAGGTTTGGAAAATTCCAGATCGTTTTCTGGATTATTTTATTCAAATTAGCACAGTAGTCATGTTCAATTTTTGATATGAACGATGAATCAGCGGTTATTTTCGTAATTCCTTTTACACCTCGTTAAACATTGACCCAGAAAACAATAATCATGACCAGAGAATGGGAATCAGCTGTTTTGTAGCTAATCTGCGTGTTTCTTATTCAATTCTAATTTTTAGATCTTCATATGTAAAAAACTTATCTAATTAATATTTCAATTGAATATTAACTTTTACATAATAACTTTTTCTCATTATCAATTATTAAATAATGTATCCTGCTATATTATATTATATTAATATTAATATATATATATTATATTAATTTTTATATTATAATATAAAATGTTTTTATATTTTATATTATATTATATTATAATATATATTATATTAATTTTTACATATTAACTTTTTCTCATTATCAGTTATTAAATAATCAATGTATCCTGCTATACTTTGTTATATTAATATTAATATAGATATATATATATATTATTTTAATATATATATTATATTAATTTTTATATTATAACATTTTTTTATATTTTATTTTATATTATAAATTTTTTTTATATTTTATTTTGTATTATAATATAAAAAATTTTTTTATTATATTTTATTATAACATATATAATATTAATTTTTACATAATAAGTTTTTCTTATTATCAGTTATTAAATAATCATTGTATCCTGCTATACTATATTATATTAATATTTATATATATATATATTATATTAATTTTTATATTATAAAATTTTTTTATATTTTATTTTGTATTATAATATAAAAAATTTTTTTATACTTTATATCATAATATATATTATATTAATTTTTACATAATAACTTTTTCTCATTATCAGTTATTAAATAATCAATGTATCCTTCTATACTATATTATATTAATATATATATATAATTTTATAACGAATAATTGTTATACTTTTAATTTTTCTATACGTAATGTGTAATTCTATTTTATTTGCAGCATAATGCCTAGAAATTCGCTCAAGATTAGTTTTATGGACTTACATAATCCAGATGTGAATACTTTTACAAATATCATAATTTATGAGATAAATTGAGACATGAAAGGGAATGGAAACAACTTGGTTATAAGTATTTATAACGGCGCATAAGTGTCGCGTGGTGTCAACGAAATGTTAGGATATCAGTTCACTAAGATCGGTATCTTGAAACAGGAGCAGTCCAATTGAATCCACTACGCGAACCATACTGACCTCGTCGTCCTTGCAGAAGCGCACTTGAGCGCAAAGATCGATAGTAGATCCGACAGATAAAAATAATGGTCTGTCTAGCTGTGTATCCTCCCATTCGCCACGTACAATTGAAGATAAAGTCGAAGCAAAGATCAGTTAGGGAATGCTTATAATTTTCCTTGACTCATATTATCATGCTTCCTGTGCAAATGCAGATGTCGATCTTCTCGTTTGATCTTTTTTATTCATATTTTAAAATTAAGTATCTTCGTTTTACCTCCTTTTTCAAATTCTTGGAAATTCCTGTGTAGGGGGATTTCGAAAAATTGGTAGAAACTTTTTTCACATTGATCTTTTGATATTTATATCAACAAACCGGTTGCCCCTTTTTTTTCAAACTTTCTACGTTTGTTTCTGTACTACTTTTTCTTTTTATTGATAATTTATTCATTCTTTTATATTGTATCTACGTAGTTTAAGGGACTCTTCAGTGATTTTTTGAAATGTGGGACTCCACGCTGCCGCACCCTGTATATATTTCTTAATTTTTTATTGATTTATTTTATTAATATGTTAATCATTTTTTCAGGCTTTCCTTTTCTTTCGCAAAATTGGTTATATTTTCAGGAACAGCATATTCATCCTTTCCATGTTTTTTTTTTCTTCATTTTTCGAAAAATCATATATACTCATCCTTTTCCTTTTTTTCTTTCAGAGACCGGATATGCTTGCAGTATGGTGGTTATGCTCACCGTAAGTAGTATTCTTGCCAGATTATGCTTTCTGCATTTCACACTTCCGCAAGTGATTACGGATGCATTATAACTCGTTCTCGCTGAACCAATGGATCAGGAAAGTTTGGTTTCCTTTTTTCTCTTCTTTTTTCTTTATCACTAATTCTATATTACAAGTCCCTGGTACTTTAAAAGAAATCGCACGCAAATTACACATTTTGCTTTCTTGCGTAAAACTCCCGCGAACTCCGAGTTGAAGAATATTGATCCTTTCACAAATGGAAAGTGTAGTTAATGATGTATGAATCATGTCAAATGAGAGAACGATTGACATAAACTGTCGAATTTTTTAGATGGAGATCTATTTTTTCGCTTGTAATATAAGTAAATATAATGGATATTCGGTAAAAAGACGCTTAAGAAAGTTATTACAGTTGTTACAGAAGATATATGCAATTTCCGGTTTTCGAATTTTGCAACGTGTTTTTGAAATTTGGAGAAACATGACGATATATTTAGATGTACAAACATAATTTAATTGCGCAAGAATTATTGTATGTCACTTCACTATGATTCTAAAACATTGATCATGCTTCTATAAATTCCAAAACAGTTGTGTTAAGTATTCATGTTATTTAGACTAATAATAGACTAATACTAGAAATAATACCACTTTCATTTGTGAAACTGACTTCTCTGATCTTTATCTAACATATTAATTGCTGTTAGATAATTACAAAGAATGATTGCGATTTCTATTAAAACAACTATCTGAAAGAGAGTAAAGATTCTAGATAGAACAATAAAGAAAGTTTTTTTTAACAGGTACTCCTTCTAACAGTGGAGGCTGGTGACATGATGCGGAAGAGCATTGTTTTCGATAAAAATACCCCGGATGTGTTCTACTGTCCACAACAGAAACCGACTGGTTTCGAGAAGATGATCGTAAACGCGAAACCGTTGTCAAGGCTCTGCCAATTCGAGGGGAAACCGATTCCACCCGATTATAAAAGTGACTGTTATAACGATGTGGACGAGACCGAGTATGCGTGCAAAGAAAAATACAGGATTATGGTGAGTCATCGTCGAGGTTATGGGCCTCGAAATTTCTCACCTCGAAAGTGTACGATCTCGAACGTACACGCAAACAATAAGGTGTATTCGGCTGCAACTAGCTGGGACGGATCAGATGAATAACACAGAAACGCAATTCTCTGATTGAATTGTTAAAACGGAATTGTACGCTTTAGCTGCATTTCACGCGTTCCATGTTAATGCTTTCGATTAAATGCAACCTCTTTGTAATTGAGGTTTAATTGAAAGTCGAAAAAGTGAAAACGAAAGTAGTTATTCACAGTGATGTACAAAAGTTTTCAGGAAGATTTTTCGTTTCATTTTTCCAAAACAATCTAAAAAAAAATATACAAAAACAAACAGTTCAACAAACACTATTATATAAATATAATGTTATATAATAATATTACTTTATCTTCTTTGAAGCATTGATTTGAAAATATAAAGTAAAAAATACTTGGCTGAAAACTTCTGCGTATTAAAAAATTTTCAAATGTAGTCTGATTTAAATCTATTTTAATGTTCAAGTATCTTTAATTTAATATATCACATATGTTTAAAGAAACTTTATCAATGGCTTTAATTGCTTAAAAGAGCTTAAAAGCAAAGTTTTACTAGTAATGCACACATCATCCGACCATCATCAACATAACATCATGTTCATCACGTATAACACGACTGGTGTCGGTTTTGTTTTCTTGCAGAAGCGATTCAGAAACAAAGCAGAGGGAGATGAGAACATCGTGGATGACTACGTCGAGAAATAGATGAAATTGGTGCTGCACGACAGAGCAACATGTGCAATTTTGCAAATGGGTCCTTCCACTAATGCTCAAGCTTGCAACTTCCAGCCCTATAATTTCAAAACATTTTTATTCCCCAAATTCAAACGTCCAATTAAATAGTTTATAGATACAATTAGTTTGACAAGAAAGTTTATTCGCATTTTAACGTTTAAAATGTTATTATAACATGTAACATTATCAGAATATGTATAGATAATTGATTTTCTTTTACAATCTTTTTTTTTAATTCTCATTGTAAGTGATATAAAGTATTCGATACTTCATTTTTTCCTATTTGTTTATTACCCGATGGTGCTATTTTGTAATTTCCGAGCTTGGTGACCAGAATTACGAAATATCATTTTCGCAATAATATTAATAAAACTAACATAATGGAGTTGGGTAAATTGATCGTTAATTTTCCGAATGTAGCTTCAACAGCTGATACTTGGTAACCGATTGCACACTAACTCTGCATCATTTGTTCTGTTTACTTCATTTGTGCACGTCTAAACGAATATTCTATGACAAAAATTTGTAATGTCTCTTTTAATTACTCAATTACATTTTTTATATATAAAAATTATATGTTTATCTTTACTTACTAAATATAACTTGTTGGTTAACTAAAATTATCTATCAAAGTATTGATTCATTCTTGATCTTCATCAATCATAAAATGAACCTGAAGACTTCATCAAACATATACATTGTGGTAGGTAGTATCTCGTTCATGATGTTTGAAATTAAAAGATCATTACTTTAATACATTAGTTTAAAAATTTAGTCTGTTTCTTTCATACATATATTAATCTCATAAATGCATGTTTGTTTTAGATGAGACTACATCCACCAGGAAGTGAAGCACCATATAATGGTTCACGTTTATCAAAATTTCTAGCTTTTGATAAAGATATCTATAAGAAAAGGAATCAGATTGAGGATGATGTTTGATGAGAAAAATTGATCACATACATTGACATTTTTTTA